CTCAGGGGCCCCCCATGGAAAGAAGACCAGGCAGGAGCCAGCCTCCCCCGGGGCCATGGAAAGCTCTGCCCTTACTCAGCTCCAGCAGGTTTTCTGGGTAAGGGGATGCCAAGACCACTCCTTAGGGATAGAATGGCTGGCGGCTGGGCAGGCCCAGGCTAGGAGCAGCCTCTCCCTGAGGTGTAGGGGAACAGAGAACTCTGTCCTCAGAGAGCACTGCTTTGCCCCAGGGGCCAGCTCTGTCCGCTGTGGAGGCTCAGGCTTCTGGGGGACAAGAACTCCTTGGTGGCTCCAGTGGAGCTCCAAAGATGGGCAGCAGAGCAGCAGAGTCCTCAGACCCCTCCGGCCACCAGCATGCCTTTCCCTCCGCCTCCCCAGCTGAGAACTGAGTCCCCTTCTAAGGCTGAGCAAAGCCACATCCCATCAGCATCTCAAGAAATGGGGACCCCCGGTCAGTGGAGGTGCCTCTGCCTCGGGAGTCTGTGTGTGGGAAGCATGTGTTTGATCTTTGATGATCTTTAGCAGGCATTTTTGGAAACCTTAGAGGGGTGGCTTCTAGGACAGAAGGGACAGAAGAGAAGATGGGAAGGAACGTGGGACTGCACCTAAACACCTGGCTACTTGTTACTTGTGGGTTAAGCTATCTGCATTCTCCTGGGCTCTAACCCCAGCAAGGGGTAGACCTCAGATTCCAAAGTCTTTCTCTGCAAGTCAACAAAACTTAAAGTGCTCAGCCCAGGTGGAGCAGAGGCTTCAACTGAAAGCTTCTGCACCAGCTTTTGCAACAGAGATTCTCGGTCCACCCACTGTGGCATCACCCTTAGGCCCAGTGTCCCGGCTGGCCCTACACTCTTTGCCTTGCCATTCTGGGGTAGAGTGCAGAGTGGAAGTAGGGGGGAGTGGGCAGCAGGAAGGTAAGGACCCAGCTCCCTCCCCCCGGAGTGCATTCTTTAGACCCAACCCCAGCTGACTGGGAAAATACTCTGGGAAGTGCTGCCTCCATGTTTCTGGAAGACTGTGGCCGCAGGGGCTGAGATGGCCTCGATGTGGGCAAGCGGATGTTCACACTGAACTCCCCAATGCTCACAGAGGGTCCAGCAATGGGGAGCCCTAGAGTCCTGGATGGGGGGACTTGCTGCTACTGCCAACCCAGTAACACTAGAGAGTGGGACCTTTCTGGATGCCCTGCAGCCTGCAAAGGTGGGAATCCACCCATTCATCTCCCCCACCCACAAGTTTGACCCCAGAGTTCCCCATGGGTGCACAGTGATTGGGAGCTTCAATTTTGGTGTCAGATCAGCTGTGTTGGAATCCCACATTCAAGTCCAAAATCCTCTGGCTTGCTGTGTGCCACCTGGACTTGCTCCCGTGAGCTCCAATATTTTAATCGTTGTGAGAAAAATAGTACCCCCACAAGGCTATTGTGAGGACTGCAAAGATCTTTCTCCACGTGAAAGCACTAACGTGTACCATGGTGCTGCTAGGAGGTGGCTGTGTCCACCGCGTGTGCAGGGGTCAGCAGGCCTGAAGGCTTCATGGGCAAGATGGATAGAATGCCTGGCCTCGGGACTTGTATCTCCAACTCGTGCAGAAGGTCCGACCTCCAAACTTCTGAGACGTCTTCATACTCTCCAGCTGTTTGCAGAGAAGCAATTTCTACTTGGTGTGCACAGCTTCCTGAAGTGGGCATGGTCTCGAGGTTTGGGGCAGCCAGGTGAGGTCACTTGGGAAGTGGTGGCCCAGCTGAGCATCACCAGATGCCTCTCTCACAATCGTGCTATCTGGCCAGCCAGACAGGAGTGTGGCTCCTCCAAAGAAAGCATCCCTGAAGAAGGATCTGTCCTTGCCTCTGACAGCTGTGTGACATCTCTGTCCCAGGGAAGAGAGAAGCAAAGAGGGAAGCACCCCAGGATTGGGGTGCAGGACCAGAAATTAGGGAGCCCCTGAGCTCCCCAGGCTTCCCACTACCCGTGAAGAGGTCAGGCAGACACCATTTGCCACTTTGTCTAGTAAGGGACCTCCCGGGTGGCAGCAAGCAAGCGAACAGCTTCCTCAGTGTGAGAGAAAACACTCACACCCACAGCCAGGCTCTGCATGTGCAGCAGGCTGGAGGTGTACCCTGTCCCCTCCCTGAGGACGGGGTGGCAGTGGCTGGGTTGGACCCCTGATGGGACACAGGAATGCCAGGCTACACTGCACTGGGTCATCAAAGCTGCGGTGTGTGAGACAGAAAACCGAACTTCCTGGATAGAAGGTGGCAGATGCTTGTCCTGCAGGTCAGGCACTTGGCTCACAGGTGACCAGGAAGAGTGGTTCCTGGGGTTGCAATTGTAGCTGCCCTGGCCTCCTACTCCCCAGCCCCGCTGGGACTATTCTAGTCTCACAATCTCTCCTTACTTCTGGATCAGGAATGGGGTGGGGATGGGGGTGAAGAGTGAAGGATGCCCACTGCCATCTGAGTGCCTGCGGGGCCCTTCTGGGCTCCAGGCACTAGTGTCATCTGCTTGCTTGAAATTCCTAGATAAACGTGAGTCTCTGGGAAACACATTTTTATTCATACACTCAACACACATTTTATGTGCTGAACCCTGCAGTACACAAGACAGACCTGACCCCTGCTTGGTGAGAACTCACTGTTCTCCGGGTCCAGGCCAGGTGGGGCTGGCTATCTGTTAATTTTTGACATTTGATTCCGGAGGGGGAGGAGGTGAGTGGGAGACCTGTTGTCCTTGGCTGGGTAAAACCAAAGATGCTGGAAAGCTGGAAGGAACAGAGGTGAGACTTCCACACCCCCTGGCTTTACTATTTCATTCTGCAAATTATTTGTGGGGCCTCAGGAGTCAGTCTGCAGAAGTCACTCACTGTGAGGGTTGGGATGCATGCCTAGCCTGGCAACCAGACAACAAGGGGTTGGAATCAGGGTGGATTGAACTCCAAAATCAAAAGCACAAGAATGATACTGGGATCTCACTGAAACCAGGAGCAGGGAGTCAGGCTCACCACTTTTTTGCAGAGGCTGGAAAGTGAATTGCTTCCTTTGAGACTCACTCTACCCATTTGCAAAATGGGTATGATAAGGCATGCCTGGCCAAATAGAGATGGCCTCTCCTCTTGTACAAATGGGTGGATGCTCAATAAATACAAGACCCTACTGTGGCTGTGTCTGCTAGTCAGAGACAGGTAACTGCCTGCCAGCCACAGGGGAGGGGTTTGGGTCCAGTTGGCCCCCTCTCAGTTTGAGGAATATCTTTATTAAGGAGCCTTTCAAGGTAAGCCAAGGATGGAAACCAGATGTGGGATCATGAGCTGGTTGTGGGCAAGGACTAGAGATTCAAAGGGTAAGGTGGGGTGGGGATCAGCCCAGATAAGGTGGGAGGTAGATGCACAAGCCCTGGAGTGCTTCACTGCGGTACCCTGGGTGCACACAGCACCAGCCCCTCCCTGCATTCAGGAACTTTCCTCTTTCACCTCTGTCCCCACTCCCAACCCCTGGAGAGGCTGTCACTTTAAGGAGGGCTGCACCACGTGGTCCCCTCTGCCTGAACCCTTCTCATTCCACGAGTTTTCCCCTTGGGTCTTCAATAGTAGCATCTGCAGCCCTAGGGTTCCATTGTGAAAATCCGGGTTCTGTCTGTACACTCAGAGTTGTTGCAGGGCTGAAAGGTGATTAGCCCCGTGGATGAGAGGTGCTCTGTCTGTAGGCAGTAAATTTCTTCTTCCCTGCAGGGTTGTGGTCAGGGATCCAGAGGCATAGGTCTCTGCAAAGGAAAAAAAAATCGCAGACCAGACCGGCAGATCTGTGGGGAACGGTGAGGCTCGCCTAACCAGCAGTGGGCAGGTGACAGCGACTGCCAGGCAAGCTCCCCAGGCTCATCCACCTCAAGCTAGCCTGCCAGAAAGCCTGGGAGCTGGGCGCGCAGCGGAGGCAGGCTGCTGGTGCCGGGAAGCAGAAGGAGGGCTACTGAGGTTCCCTCCAGCGACCCAGGGATCTCAGACCTCATAGCAACCCTGTCCAGCACCCTAACAAATGGGAAACCCACGGCCCAGGATGACTGCAGCCTGGGTGGTTTAATTTCTCAGAGAAACTGGAGAGTGGGGCAGGCAGGCTGCCAAATTCTCGCACAAGTGTCCAAAGGACGGGCACTGGCAGAGCAGTGGCACATCTGACTCCGAATGTCAAAACCTGTTAGGGTGGGTTTTTTCCTAACGTTGTCGTTAAAATTTGCATTACCTCAAAGCTGGAGAGGGGAGGCAAAAGCTTGCATTCCCAACACTTTGAGAGACCTAGGCAGGAGGATCCAAAATTCGAGTTCAGCATGTGCAATTTATCGAGACCTTGTCACAGAAAAAAAAATTTTTTTAAACAAAAAGTGGCAGAGCTGGGATATTTAACTCAGTGCGATGGCCTTGGGCTTAATTTCCAGTACCCAAACAACAAAAAACTCAGGCAATGCCCAGAGTCTGGAGCCTTGGGGGTCCTGGCAGCTCCTCACCTTTGCCTGTAATCCACAGGCCTTGGGGCGCCTCCGGATTGAACCCTCTCCCACTGGAGAGTTAGGAGCATCTCCTTAAGAGGGGAAAGGAGGGGTCAGGGGCGGGTGGGAAGGAGAACCGGGAGAGAGGAGGAGGGGAGCAGGAAGGAGCCAGTCAAGAAAAAAAATTCACTTTTTTTTTCCTTCTCGTCTCGAAACCTTAAGAGGGTTTGGGAGATCTGGTCAACTTTCCGAAACATCTGAATCTTTTTACAGCACTCCGTTCCTTCCCTGGGCCAGCTGTGGATAGGAAGAAAGGAGAAAGAGAGAGAGGGAGAGCAGGAAAGAGAGACAGAGAGAGTGAGAGACAGAGAGAGGGAGGGAGGGCGAGGGAGGGAGAGAGAAAGAGAGAGACCGGCGCGCAGGGAGGAGGGAGCCCGCGCCCCGCGCACCACCTCCCGCCTCTCCACCCGGCGCGGCGCGGTGGCGTCCTCGCGTCCTCGCGTCCCCGCGCCCCCGCCCGCCCGCCCGCCCGCCCGTCCGGCCAGGCATGAACGCGGAGACCTGCGTCTCCTACTGCGAGTCTCCGGCCGCTGCCATGGACGCCTACTACAGCCCGGTGTCGCAGAGCCGGGAGGGCTCGTCGCCTTTTAGGGGCTTCCCCGGAGGCGGCGACAAGTTCGGCACAACGTTCCTCTCGGCCGCCGCCAAGGGCCAGGGATTCGGGGACGCCAAGAGCCGGGCCCGCTACGCCGGAGGTGGCGGCGGTGGCGGCGGCGGCGCGGGGCAGCAGGAGCTGGCGACGCCCCTGGAGAGCGGCGCGGGGGCGCGCGGCTCCTTCGCCAAGTTCCAGCCGCAGCCGCCCAGCGCGCAGCCCCCGCCGGCCGCGCAGCCCCCGCATCTGTACCTGCCGCGCGGCGCCTGCAAGACGCCCCCGGACGGCGGCCTCAAGATCCAGGAAGGCGGCGGCGGCGGCGGCGGCCCGGCCCTGCAGGTCTCCTGCTACGGTGAGTGCACGTGCGGGGCCGCAGCCCCCGGCGCGGCTGCAGGAAGGCGGGCGGCGGCGCGCTGGGGAGGCGCGCGCGGGCGGGCGAGCCTGGCCGGAGCGCGGGGGTCGGGGATCGGGGACCGGGACCGACCGCCCGAGGACGGGTCGGGGCCCTTCGGACTCCTTCGCACCTCCGGCCTGCGTCGCGCTGCTCTTGGGTGATTAAACTCGCCCCGGAGTTTGGGGCTCACGGTGCCTGTCGTGGCCGCTTCTCCAAACCGCTCTTTGAGAGCTGCCCGCCCGGCGGGGCTGGACGCGGCGCTGCTGCGTCCCCGGTCGGTCGCGGCGCGGCTGCGGGAGTCGCCGGGCTGGGGCTGCCACGGCCTCGCTCTCCGCGGGCTCCGAGGCTCCGGGCGCGGCTCAGCAGGTAAGGGCGGCGCAGGTGCCCGCCCCGGCCCGGACCCCTCAATGGGCGCGGCCCATCGAGCGCGTTGGACACAGAGTGGCGGCCCAGTGCCGGTCCGGAGGCTCCGGAGCGCGGAAAACCCGCGTCCCGGCCGGCGCGCTCTCGGCCAGCGTTCCCCAGCGCTTCTCTCTGCGCGATCTTTGGAAGCGGGCAGCTTGGTCGAAACAATGGTTCAGGACGAACCGGGCGGGAAGGCAGGAAATCACAGAGCCCCGCGCCGCTGAGGGCAGTGGGAAGAGCAAGGACTGTAGGTCCCGACTCAGGCCCACAGGGAATCCTGGGGAGCTGGCCCGAATGACCTCCAAGCCCCCTTGAACGCACCGCGGGACTCAGGCCTGGGCCCCCAGAGCGCAGCCAGCCTTTCGGAGGAGCAAGCACTCAAGGGCCGCCTGAACCGTGTGATTCAAGCGCTAGGCCTTCTTTATCTTCGGAGCTGGTGCCTGGGAGTCCCAAACTGGAAGGTAGGGATATCCAGAAAGAAGGAGGTGACTCCTCCGGGTCAGGAACCCTGGATAGACATATCCCCCAGGCCGTGGCCTCTTCGGGCAGGGCCCTGGTAAGATGAGCCCCTGCTTGACAGGTTCCCACTGAATGTGGAGACACTAGGCCTGGGCACAGAGATGGAGCATACTGGAGGCCTTGGTGGCCAGAGTCGCAGCAGGAAAACATCCCTGATAACATTTTATCACATTCAGACACTATCTCATACACACTGAGCACAGACGCATAGGTGGCCATGGACAGAGACATGTCCATGCATTTCTCTGTACTTGCATCACCTACACGTGTACCCACAGCCTTTCTTAATGAACCTATGTGGTCACACACCAAGCACCAAACTCAGGTGGCCTCAGGCCACACACTCCAAACCCACAGGGCAGGGCTGAGAGCAGATTTGGAAAACTCAGGGCGGCCTTACCCCACTTCCTCTACCTTTCCACCTTCAGCTGGAATGAGACCAGGCACTCACAGCACAGCTGCACACAGGTGCTCCTTCCCTCCCGTGCCCAGGCCAAGGAGACCCCCTAGCACCCGCATTCCCATCCCCTAGCCACACTCCGGGACTGTGAAGTGGGAGTAGGTCCCAGGATGGAGGCCCCCAGAGCTTCATGCACAAAGTCACGGGCGGGACTCACGTGTGTTCTCCCACTGTACTGTTTTTAGATGTTAAAGAAATTAGCTACTGAGGACCCTGAGGAAGCTGGAATAGAAGAGCCAAGTGGCTCCCAGGCTCTGGGTGAGCAGATGCCATCAGGTCTAAGAGGAAAAGAGGGAGAAGAGAGAGGGTTGGGCCCATCTCTGTGTTCCGCTGGGCTCTGAAAGCCAGGCCCTTTCTATACTTGCAGCAAGCATTGAGGCTGGAGGGAAGGGCCAGCCGCTTGACCCCAGCTGTCCTAACCCACAGTCCGACCCAGGTGCAGCCAGCCACTAAGCTTCCAGTTCCTCCTGGGATCAGGCGAAGTGATGGAGAAGCTTCGTCCTCCACACAGCCATGCCCTGGGTCTCTGTGCTGTTTGGAGTGCCCGGTTCTCCCACAGGGCGAGCCCCCTGCCTGCTGCTGGAATGATGGCAGTCCTCACCTCGGTGGAGCCCTCTCAGCCCTCTCGTTGTGACCTAAGATGGAGGCGCTGCTCCAGTGGCCACCCTCGGCCACCAACACATTGCTTGGCTCTCCTCCCCTCAGCATCTGTGTTTCCCTGGCCAGGAGATTTCTAACCCTTGTAGGAAAGAGGTTAGACACACACGGGATCAAGATGGGGAAACCAAGGCACTAAGAGCTAGGCTCTGCCTTTTTACAGAGGTAGCTAGGAAGGTCTCTGCAACTGGCTGTCTAATCTGCAGGCAAGCAGGGAAACCGAGCTATGCACTGACAATGCTGCTCTCCCACAGTTGGGTAGGTATGTACTCAGAAGGGGGAATTGGGCGAAAGAGAAATCTTTGTGTGTTAACAGGAGCTGGGGAAAAGGCAGCAGTGGCTTTGGTGCTAGGCCTGACTTTGGCCATCTCATTCGCGTGTCCCCTTCCCACACTATAGGCAACTTAGACCTCCAAAATCTTGGGGCTTGGACTCAGGCCTCCAAGCAGCTCTAATCGGAATGGAGGCTCGGGGCCTCAGTTCCCATTGATTACACTCGCTGGGTCCAGGCGCATCTTCCCCTGGAGGTGCCCGCCAAGCAGAGGGAGTGCAGCTGGGAGTTCTCTTAAGTCCCAGCCGCGGAGAAATCTTTTAGGGCTGCGGGGACCCCTAACCCATCCCGGGCCTCCTTTCCTGTCAGTACTAAAAAAGCAATGATCAAAGTGGCTCACGGTCGCCCCCGGGTGCAAAGAAGCTCGCGTTTTGTAGAAGGAGCCCTACCAGGTCCTCGCCCCTAGGCTGTCAGACTCTGCCCCCAGCAACACGCTCGGAAGTCCCGGCCCGGGCCCAGGAGACGCGCGAGGTTGGAGACCACAGGTTTCTCAGCGGTGCGAGGTGGAAGAGCCTCCTTATCCCCGTCCAGGGCCCCGAGTCTCGCACCGCAAATCCTCGGCCACACTGCGGGCAGCGCAGCGATTCGGTCTTTCGCTTTCGATTCAGTCCGCGCAGGTTTTCGTTGCGCGCGGATTCCTACCTCCATCCACATCCGCCGCCGCCGCAGCCACCGCGGAGACGCAGAGTCGCGCTCCTCTGGAGGAGGCCTTGGAGACTCCAGCCAGGCCTGAGTCCTTGGGGCGCCGGGGATCCCTCCAGTCCTGCTTTTGCTAATTAGAAGCAAGATTCAAACGCTGAGAGTATGCGCCCCGTCCGCGCGCAGCGCGCAGTCCACACAGCACCAAAGGAGTGGACTCCGACGGAGTCGTGTTTGAATTTAGTCCAAGAACTGGAATGTTTTGTATATGAAATCCAAAAAAGACAGGGACAAATGGGGACAGAGCAGAAACAATAAGATTAGCCTTCGGATGACTGTAGGAGGATCCAGGAAAGCTGCAGTGCGGGCACCAAAATCTGGGGAAGGCAGTGACCCCCAGCTAGTTTTGCAGTGGAAGAAGATGCTTTTAATTTTTTACTTTGTTAATTTCCATAGCCACCCGCCTGCTCAGACAATCCAACCCAGGCGCACGCATTCTGAATTAGAAAAACGGAGGGCTTCGATTAGAAAGTAGAGTATTATTTTGAATGAATTGAGTTGGACGATATTTTATCATAACATCAGAACTTAAATAGAAAGACGGAAGAATTAGTAGGGACGCGCATAATAATTCTATAATTATCTTCTTATAGAAGACACAGACTGGGTGCGTGTTGGATTTGTGCGTGAAAACTTCAGAAGGGAAAAAGTTGTAAATTATTTTAAGAAACCTTCAGGAGTGGCGATTTCGGAGCACCGGGGACCGTCTTGATCCTTGCGTAGTGTTTATTTTTGAGAGCAAGCAGGAACTTTTGCACAGTCCTGGTTCTAATACCAGGTTACAACCCGCTGCGTGAAGAATGTTTTCGGGGCGCCGGGCTATCGCGCAGCCATCGAAGCGGGGAGCTTGTAATTGCGCCATGCAGTTCAGGCTGCGGCAGGAAACAAGTTAAAACATCATTTATAAAGTCCCTCCGAAGTCTCCTGAGAACTGCGAGCTGGGAAGAGCAGCTTGGCTTATTTATCTGGGGCTTTATCCTGGTCACAGCCTCTTTTTTCTCTGAAATTTGCACATACTCAAATGGGTGTCGAGTTGAAATATGAAATGTAAGTAAGGCTCCACAGCCACAGCTGCCAGAAATGAGGGGAAGGTAGCGCCTTGTGCGTCCCTCCGAGGCTGAGCTTCTGCGCCCACCTCTGGAGCTCGGTGCCAAGTGGGAAAGGACTGGGCAGCATGGGGAGCTGGCAGCTCTGCGGCAGCGGCAGCGGGTGGAGAGAGCCTGGAATCCAGTGTGTGCCTTGGGTAGGTAGCAAGCAAGCCAGTGTTGTTACTGTTGCCGACTGGCCGATTGGCCCTGTGCTCCTGCGCCCACCGCTGGTTCTCCAGGTTTTGCTACACAGGCTTTGGGCTCCCTCCATGCAAAGACAAGAAAGGTCATCAGATTGGAACACCAGGACACCAGGGCCCTGCCTGTATGATGACACTATCCAGAGAACCCAGAGAGGAAGGCAGCGGTGCTCCCTTGTTCAGAAGTGACATGGCATTGTCCTCAGAGATGCTAGGCAAGTAAGAAGAGGACTTTAGGGGGCTGGAGGAGGTGCCTTGGTCGTACAGCAAGTCCTTCCAGCCTCAGTGCCATCAGTGTCCTCCATTTGTTTTCTGAGGTCAGAGTGACTGGTGGCCTCAGGGACGGCCCAGCCAGAGGCATAGCTTTGTAAGCCTCTCTGCTGTTGTATAGATGGGCAACCACCCATCTCCCAGCGCAGAGGTGTGGGGTAGCTTGGGTGCTACCAGGAAGCCGGGTCTTCCCAGAAAGGCTACCAAAATTTGGAAAGGTGTCACTTGGGTTGGGTCTCACCAGACTGGTCCCTTCTACCTCCTATGAGTTCTATCGCTTTAGCAAAGACCGTCTCTTCCATCCATGCCACACCTGCCAGCACCTTGGA